GGGAGCTTTAACAAGTTTTGCAACAATCAGATTCATAACAATGTTCTTCTCTAGTTAGTAGTTTTCTGTATAAAATTCCTGAATCACTTCTTGTCTTTTCTGAAATGAACCTTTCTCAGTGGCTTTGCTGCTTAACAATACTATAGGACGTGTGAGATGTTTTGAATGCCTGGATAAAGTCCTAATATTCAATTGAATTCAGTATCTCCATGAACACAGCATAACCCATCGCGACATCAAACCAGAAAATGTACTTTGCATGACGAAAGATGACTACACCGTAGTGAAGGTAAGGATTTGGAAGGTGCAATTTCCTGTTATACAGGCTAAGCGAAGATGCACTAATTTTTGAGATGAATGATTGAGGAATAATTTGTACTTTTCCAGCTTGCTGATTTCGGTCTTGCTAAGGATGCGGACGCATCTACCATGAAAACATTTTGTGGCACTCCTGCTTACATGGCGCCGGAGATGGTCGACAATGAGAAGCTAGCTTACAACCCGAGGATTGACATGTGAGTTTGTGTTCATATCGGTCTGTTGTCATTTTTTCTTTTTTTATCTGGCAAGAACTACGCTTAGGTGGAGTCTGGGTGTAGTGCTCTTCACTGGGATCTGTGGCTATCCACCATTCAGCGATGACTATCAGGATATGGATTTGAAGTCGCAAATCAAGCAAGGTGCCCTCAACCTTTGCTTCATAAAATCACTTTTAGGAGAAAAGCAGGAGTTACTTCAGGTCGTCTTATATTCCATCATCAATGGAAATATGTTACACTGGAAACGCAACACGCTATCAAAATGATGCTGAAGGTTGATGTGAGTCCTCATGTACCGGCAATAGCTCTACAGTCAACCTAGAGAAATGTGTTTTAGCCTACGTTGCGAGTATCCGCAAAAGATGCTCTCAGAAAATCCTGGTTACAGAACAGTGAAGTAGTATCCAAGGCAAAAGCTATAGTGGCCAAGTTTATCCAGACTAAGGTGAAAAACTTGAGTCGTGTTTCTTGACTATTTTGGTATCAGCATCACGGCTAAAGTTGTTTTTATTTCTTTGAAAAGAATTCATATTCAAATTCAGAAAGCTCAGTTTGCTTACCCATTTTAACTTTTTATACAAGTCGCTACTAATTTAGCTAGTTATTATGTACTTTTTTAGAAGGACCCGGAGCATGCGCTGGATTGAGGCTCCAGGGAAAATCAGTTTTTGCACTTGAAGTTTCGACTCAACTATACATGTCTTTTGCATAAATCCCGCTCGATTCCCTTATCCACACATCATTTGTCTCTTTTGCTATACTGTATGTGGTGAAGCTTTTATCAAGCTCATTAAATGAGATTCCATAACCCGTATCCGCAGGGAGTAGTAAGATGTTAGAGCACAATTTGACCTTCTTCTCACTCATCTCCACATACATTATATTCCATATTAATTACAATACAATTCTGAATTTTTCTTGACTCTTATGTCTCATGATCACATGTTTTTACTTTTAGTTACCTTGCCCCTAGTTTTTTTTTGTCATAGCTTTGAAGCTCAGCTAGTTCTGTCGGTCTCATACGTGTCCGGTGTCCGGTGAATTATTTCGTTTGCTAATCTTTCTCTGAATTCGGGTGTATACTTGCTTAACACAAATTACCTCTCTCTGTTCTCAGACAAAACCTCAATCTCTTTTTTGCCATTCAAACGTTAAACTTGCCATTCAAATGTTAAACTTTCTTTTGATATCTAATTTGATAAATTTCAAGTTTGCATTCACTTGCATATTATGTAATTTCTCTTTCTGTTCCTCGAAGAAATTCAAATAAATTGTTTGAAGATTTTGCATTTGATCTGCTTGGTAGTGATCCTTCAGTATTTTTCACCTTAAGAGTGCATGACATCTTAGCGTTACTTTTTCTCTTGGTCTGAGTCAGTTCATCTAAACAGTATTGTGACTGGCAATTTCGTGGATGCTTGTTAAAAGTATCATTAGTATACTAGTTAGTTATAGCTAATCCTCTCATATCTATCCCTAAGTAAGATCTAGGAAGGGCTCTCTTATGGCCAAAAAAAAAA